TCCATCCAGTTGGTCAACGCTGAGCCTACTTTGCCTACAGCATTTTCCTTTTCCATGCACACTTAATCTCTTTGTTTATATCATCGGATTCATGTCTATATAAATGCAATTTTTAATCCACCAACTAATTAGAAAATAGTACAATTAGCAAGAATATATTATATCTTCTTTTGCATGCTCATACTATTCTGGAAATAAAATTAATGTGCTTTTACATAATGTAATGAATTTAGTTTTCAATTTTTTGTAACCATTAGTGGACTAATTCAAATATTTTGTCACTCTGTTCCATGCAGTATACAACATTATAAATATATCACTTCAATTCGAAAACAACATCATGTCTATCAAGAATTGTATTCAATATGTTTATTTTTTATCTTATTTTCAGTAATTTACTTAAAGCTAGCTTTTGTAATTGTTTTTAATAGCTACAATACATAACACCAAAAAAAAGTAAGAATTCTATCAACTTATGATTAATGTAATACTCAAAAGTGGCAATAAATATATGCGACCTATTTTGTCAAAGAAAGGGAAAATAGAAAGAACAATTTTACAGTTGGTAACATTATAATAAAGTTGATGAATGAACCTCCAATCTGATATTTCCTGTCTGAAAGCTCGGAAGCAAGTGAAATTCCAATAGTGATACCAAAACGACGCCTGGTACAAGTACCTATCAACGATTCATCCTTGTTTTTCATTGCATGATTGAAGTGACTATCATATAAATAAAGGAACCCAATAGAGTGTATGTACAACACTGGTGAAGGTTCCTTTGAATATGGTACTTAAATTGGAATGTTCATGATTATAGAAAGTGGTGGGCAACCTTGTGCAGCCAGTGATCATGCTGCTTTGGAGTGGTTTGCAACCCTATGTAGCCTGAGTTACATGCTGCATATGTACAAGCAGTTTACTCTGTGCATATGTATCCTATACTCGGCCACTGAGCCCAATAAGTGATGAGGATCTTACCATAGATAAAATCATTGGACAGGAATGAGACTTGGTATAGGAGTAAAGGGTTAAGTTGGGTAACAGGAAGTCCTTGGTTAGTCCTGGTTAAGATCTTTGTTCAGAGAGAGAGAGGGGGAAAAAGATTACCCAGAATCTGTAACATTGATTTCTACTCTGTTTCCTTCTATGTTCTCTATTCATCACTCTAGTTAATTTTCTTTTCCCTAATTATCCATCTTCCTGTGCAGAATTGGAACATTGACTCTAGGGTTAGTTGGCTTTGCCCTATACTGTAATGACCAGCAGTACAGGGATTCATATATACAGGAGGCAGATATGTTTTTCCTGACAGTTATTTTAGTTGCCACATGTTTATTTAGCGTGTCAAACCCAACAACTCTTCCAGAAAGTTGTTGCTGCTGGTGCTCTTCCTTGATGCTTCTTGTACATCAAACATTGTGGCCTCTCCGAACTAAGGTTGTTATGGCCAGTGCTTTATACTTCAGTCGTTCTTTGTTTTACATTAAGCTAGAAGTTGACTTGACGTACACATTCTGTGTCTCATGATGACATAAATTTCATGTCTGATATGGAAAATTTCTAAACTTCAGACGCATGATGTAGTTCCCTCACAAGTTTGTTTTTGTTGTGAGAGTTGGTCATTAATTGTTTGTAGATCTAGTTTTGGTCAACTAGAATTAATAAGGTCAACAAAATTAGTTCAATAAAGTACTAGATCCCTTGAGGCCTTTTTTTATAGGTTCTTCTTAAAAGCTTCATTGTTCTCTGGAGGGTATAATATGTGTTAGATCTTGGTAATGGAAGCTAATATCAAAATTGAGCACAGACTACAGGCTTTACGTAACTTAAAAATAATACATGAGATCTGATAAGTGATAAATGTTTGCACATATATGCTTACCAGATCTTTATAACGTTCACTCAATCTTTTACCTTATTCATCCATTGACTGTATATTTCTCAATGCCTTAAAATTTCTGTCAAATCAAATGAAAAGGACATTACTTAATGTTCTGGTGAAAAGATGCAGACCTTTTATGCATAATGGTATAAGCTTATATACCTGCATACTTTTGACACTTGAAATGAACACAGATGTGTATATTAAGAATAAGTTCCGTGCTTAAAGTTATCATGACAATTTCCAATTTTGGATGTGTTTATGTGCTTATACCACACAATCAAGGGTAGATATCTGCACCAACTTAGTTTCACACTTACACGACAAATTTCTTAAGCGTACTAGCCACTAGGTTTTACATGTTAATTTGCGCTAATCCTTTAACTCATAAGTTTGCCTGAAGTTGAAAATGGGGCATTTGCTTATCTCCTATTTGAATCCTTCTCAACTTAGAGTTATGATCCATGAAAATTCCATTTTATAGAGAAAACTTGGATTTTGATGGTAGTGATCCAAGACTTTCCATTGCTTGAATTATCAAATAATGTCATGTACACATGATTACCTCCATTTGTTTTCTCAATGCAATTCTTCTGACTCGCTACAATCACAAACTCTATTTTCTTGTATGTATACTTCCTGCGGATGCAATTTCTTCTTTATTAGCTTTCTAGTGCTTTATATAGCATTTCAGTTTCGTCTCTTATCAATAGCCGCATAGATTACTTGTGGTTTAGAAGCTTTGAACTGATCCAGTCCTGTAAAATCATTATGCTGTTGTACTGCCCGTATTTATCTGCAACACCCTTATACTGTTCTTTGTATAGGAATTCATCATTAATTTCCTCTTTGAAGCTGCACATTCTGCACACACATTTTCCTTGGTGTGGGTTACAATTGACAAATTTGTTCCCTGTTTTTCAACATAACCACCTATTTCAGCTGTTAAAATGGTCAACTTAATCACTTATCCACACTGTTTTAAAAAACCTCCGCCTAGTCCGCTTAGGTGTACGCCTAGACCTAGGCGGTACCTAGGTCGCCTAATTAGCGCCTAGCGCCTAGGCGGTATTTAGGCTGCCCACCTAGATTTTACGAGCGTTTAGGGGAGCATTGTCGTATTTAGGCTGCCCACCTAGATTTTACGAGCGTTTAGGGGAGCATTGTCTGCTTACGTAGATTGCACCCTGTAGGCCTTGATTTAGGGGAGCATTGTCTGCTTACGTAGATTGCACCCTGTAGGCCTTGATTGTGATTTTATGTGTCGTAGCTTACATGTCCTCCAAACTCCATTAACCTCCAAATATGAACATCTCCACTACCTCCTCCGACCTTTAGCAAAACCTCATCGACCACCACTTAAATGAAGAAAGAAAAAAAACGCCCAGAAACTGCTTAGGCGCCCGCCTAGGCGACTAAGCACTGGGCGCCAAGTCCGACGCCTAGAAGCGCCCAACGTTTAATATAACATTACTTATCCATAATAGTTATCGAACCTGAATGAAATCATCTGTACCTATTCATTATATTTTCTTATTTCATTCACCTTGGGATTATTATCTTGATAGATCCTGTTTCCCTATCTTGCATTTTTATAATTTTGCGCTTTCCACTTAAAATTTATCTGCACATGCAAGGCATATAACAATTTTACACTTCAACAAGGGAAAAGAAGGGTTTCCATTTCCTTTTTCGGTGATTTACAATGCAACATTTATCTGTGAATATATTGGAAGGCTTATAGGGCTTAGCACTTAGTGTACAGGACATGAATGTTTTTCAGTTATTTGATTGAAAAGTTTTCTTAATTTCATGGTTCTATGCATAGGCAAAGGAATCTATTTCTAAATCATTTATTAGATAAAAGTAAATTAGTGACTACTCCCATTGTCATGTGTGCTACAGTAAGTTAAATGCTCGTGAAATCAAAGAGTTATTGCTCTTCAGAAGTGGGGTTCCCTCTTAATCCTTGTACGTATTGTTGTAATTCAATGAATTATTTCTCATGTGTGCAATTGGTAGTATCAATGAATCCTGCATGCTTTTGTTTTTACAATGCCATGTTTTGAGTCCATATGAGAGTTTTAACATGAAAGAAGGATATTTTATATCCTTCAGCAAGTCAAATATCAAAAGCTTTTGATGTTTAGGATGAGGACCTTCATTTGTTTTCATTATTTATTTATTAATTTCAGGCAGATGGTTTTGCATACAGTAATCAGTACAGGTAGATGCATCTGTAGAATGTACTTCCCTTTTGTTGTTCCCTAAGCAGCTCAATAAATTCTGTGCTCAATTTTTGATTGTTGTCAAATACTCATACGACTTCTTTGTGGTTGATCTATGAGGAGGATCTACTTGTAAGCAAATCATAGCTTTCCCCAACATTTGGTGGACCATAGAATTACCACATCCTTTGTTCTAGAGTCTGTAGTTACTTAATACCATAGTTTGTGAGTAATGTGTGCATTTAACATGTGGGTATACCTTTTTATTCTAGAAAGTGTGACTGTCACCTGCCACCACATGTTTGAATGCCAGTATGAAATGTTTTCTTTGGTCCTATGCAAATAAATTACCAACTCTATGATCTATCAAGTTGTCAATTTCTTCCTTCGCATTCCTTCTGTGCTTACAGACTGTATGCTCTTACCTTCAGTTTCGGATTCAGTTTGTTCGTTCTCTCATACTGTTTGGTTATTTTTGTTCTGGACTCTCAGCTCCATCAGATTGTGGGCATTAACTGGCCAAGTCTTGCTAGAGATGGTAGGACATACCTCTTTGGTTTATTCTGTGGATGCACACTCATCAGGACTTGTTGCTAGCGGTAGTGAAGATCGGTTTCTGAAGATATGGAAAGGTATTCTTCCTTTCAATTTGATTCTATATGTGATTTTTAAGATGGCGAAGTAAATCATGTCCTCTGTCAAGTTCGTTATATGATTTACAATTAATATTGGAGGTGCTTTTTTAACTTGAATTTTTTCTAGCAATTATTTTTTCCTTTAGTTGACTTCATGCATTTATACCTATTCCTTACCAAATGGGTTGTAACTTGTAAGGCTTTTAACATAGTACTTCCAACCCTTAATGCTGGGATTGGAAAGCGCTTCCTATTACTATTTACTGTGATTTTCTTCATGAATTTGCCTCTACCTGCTAATATGGCTCAAGAAACATTCTAGCTGATGTAAATTTTTTCTCCTTCAACAGATGGGTTATGCATTCAGAGCATTGAACATCCTGGTTGTGTTTGGGATGCAAAATTCCTGAAAAATGGGGATATTGTGACAGCATGCTCTGATGGTGCTGTGCGTATTTGGACATCACATAAAGATCGGATCGCTGAACCCCTGGAACTTGAAGCCTATGCCATTGAACTTGTTGAATACAAGAATGCAAGGTATGTTAAACTATCCACCATACTGGTTTCTTTCAGAATGAGTTAAAGTGACATAGAAATGGCCTGGAAGAAAGTTGTGTTGATATCTTTCTTTCTTTTTTATCACCATAATTTACGCCAGGAAAAAAGTTGGTGGCCTGAAGTTGTCAGACCTTCCTGGTTTAGAAGCTTTGCAAAGCCCAGGTATGATTCTTCTTTCATTGACAGCTCCTTTATCCATTTTATTCAGTTAAAAACTTCACCCAAAAACTTAAGGGGCAGGTTATGAGCTAAAAATATTTATATAGCAAACAAACATAACATTTAGGACTCTCTTTCATGTGGGCCATGTGGAAATTTACGAATTAAGGTTTCGGACTGCTTTAACTTTAGTTTGTAGAAAAGTTTACTTGACAAACTTGACATTAATGAAGCGTTTTTTTATTGTTTTGTCTTTCTGAAATTAAGTATGAATATTGATCGTCTGCAAGCAATTAGTCATGTTTCAAATAGCCATCCTTTGATTTATAAGTAATTAGTCAAGTCTTAATCAATAACCTACCGCCACGTACATGCACACTCACATAGACACACAGGACATGTTATTACTCTTTGCATATCTGTTATTGGATGGTTCTCATATATATATTTCTTTTAAATAAATTCAGATTTCAAATTTTTGGGTAACTATCACTTGCTTCTATATTGTTTGACATTATAGATTTGAACAGGCTCTTCTGATGGACAGACATTAGTTGTTAGGGAAGGGGATAATGGAGTGGCTTACTCATGGAATTTAAAGGAGCAGAAGTGGGATAAAGTATGTTCACAACATGCATTTGTTCTTTAAGTAATAGTGGATATTTACTTGTTATATTTTTGTCTCACTTTTCTTCTAGTTATTCATCTCAATAATTTTTTTGGATTTCTTGACTGTTTAATTTTTAAGTCTTATTTTTTTAATTATCTGCTGCTTATGTGTTAATTAGTGCTTGTTTGCCTTTTCTTTGGATTATGTCAAATCCCAAAGTGATACACCACATAATTACAATTCTTGTCAATTTTGTATCCCTCTTGCTTTCTTGATTTCTAATGTTGTACTGAATTACTTTTAATCTTAGATTGGAGAAGTTGTCGATGGACCAGGAGATAACACTTCTAATCGAGTTCATAACGGCGTTCAATATGATTATGGTATACGCCTAAAAAGATACAGACAGCGTATATTTATGCTTAGTATCCATCACCAGTTTGTTCATAGTATTCTTCCTGACTTATGCGGCTTTTCATGCCCCAGTTTTCGATGTTGACATTGGAGATGGTGAGCCCATCCGGAAACTACCATACAATCGGGGAGGTAATTAATACTTATCTTGTGCAATGACATCGTCTTCTCCTGAGTCATCATTTTCTTCAGTATGGAAAATTTGTATAAACTTCAGATTTAAGCTTACACTTAATTTTAGAAATTATTGCCTGTTCACAGATAATCCTTATGATGCTGCTGACAAGTGGCTTCTGAAAGAGAATCTTCCTCTTGCATACAGGCAGCAAGTAGTAGAATTCATCCTGCAAAATGCTGGGCAAAAGGACTTTTCACTGGATACATCATTTCGGGATCCTTACACTGGGTGTATGTAATTTTTTGTGAGATTGTGATTTAAGAAAATTATGCGTGCTGATAAATTTGAATTGTCATATGTTACTAACCTTTATTGAATTTTCCAGCCAGCGCTTATGTTCCTGGACCATCTTCTTCATACGGTATGTTATTTTTGTATTGGAAGAGGTGGCTAAACTCTTGTTTGCTTCAACATTGCTATGAATTTTTTTTTCTCGAGTTCTAAATATGACAAAATTTGTAAGAAGTTGCTAACTTCAGATTCTTTCTTTCTTTTTTGGCATCAGGTGGTGCATCAAAGCCTTCATTCAAGTACATCCCGAAGGTAACCATATCTCCTTTTCTTCTTTTGATCATTATCGAAGATATCCCTGCTAGCTTCCCCTATTTTAGTGTGTGTATCTAAGTTGCGTTGGTACGTGTGGGTACGCGTACAAGTACAGATATGAGAAATGGAAAATTTGTGAAAGGTAGGACACAGGGACACAACTATGTATTTGTATGTTATGAAGTATTTACATGTATTAAAATTAATAATTTCATAAGATCAATACTATTTTTTCATTTACATAAGATCAATGTATAAAAAAAGACATGTAGGATATACATCCAAGAAGTGTATGAGGAGTGTTTTAAACTTGAACGTGTATTATATAATTGAGTATGCGCCCGAATAAACGTATGCGTATATTCAAAAAGTGTCCAAGAAGTTTCGAAACAGGTATGGGTACGTGTCGGGTATGGGTATGGCTGCCCAATAGAAGTACCTAGATAACATAGTTGTATATGTTTGTCTGTATATAACTTGAAAAATTCCCCAATGACCCGAAATATGGGACCAACAGGGGGGACATGTGAGGTGTCCCCCCTCTTATTGCATAATGAGTTTGCCATCATTAATGATGACCAGCTCATTATGCAATAGGAGGGGGACATCTCACATGCCCCTCATGTTGGTCCCATATTTTGGGTCCCTGTAGAAAATCTCATATAACTTTTACCACGTCTTTGGAACCAGACAATGTGATCTGGCAACTACTGTCCTGACACCATGCACAATGGTTCAGTAATCATATTTATAAGCTTTGCAGCAGTCTAGCATATATCACATTGACGCCATTGACTTGTTTAAAACAATAAACACATCACTGTTCCAATTTTCAGTTCCAAGTCCAATTTTTCAACACAATTAATTCTAATTTCACAATACGATAAGAAACTTAAGTCAATTAAAGACATAAGTTTCACAACTCCATTATCCAAGTCCCTATCAGCTTCAATTCCAATTAAAATATATACCTTCCATATGTCAAGTCAAATGCATTACCAATAATAATTACAAATTTCCAATTTAAAATTAACAATTTTAAGAATTCCACATTTAACAATTGTAATTTAACTTAGTTATTGAAATATTTTTTTAGGAAAAAAATTATCGAAAGCAATAGAACCTACCAATATCTATAGTTTGCTCTTTAATATACTGTTCTAGGGCATCAGGATACCAGGCAGACAGGGAAACAAGGAAGAGAAAAAGGAGAAAAATAACACCAGCTCCTATTACAAATTGCAAAAAAAAAAAAAAAATCTTACCAATTCAACTACTACTCTCCCATTAAAGCTCCTGGGTTAGGTTCTTATTGACTACTGCAGAGAGAGGAACAGGAAATTAGAAGCAAAAGAAAAAAAGAAAAGAAAAAGAAAGAAAAAAGAGGGGAGGGTGGGGGTGGGGGGGGGGCTGTCGAAGAAAAGGTTGTTGGAATTTGCAATAAAAAGTTAATCTGATCAAGAGGTTGCTTGTGCACAAATAGGAAGGCGGATAATTGCCTTCAGATTTCATCAGATCATTGCCACTGATGAGGCCACACCCTAGAAAATCCTAGGAGAGATGGATGAGGTCTGGTTGAGGGAGGTAGGGATAGGGATAACACACATACAAGGTTGTTTGCCTATAGGGGTGCATATCCAAAATAGTGCAATACAGGATTGCTTCAGAGTATGCTGCCGCTTATGTGACCACATATACTGTTTTTTTAGAACAAAAACACTGTTGTGGCCAACTTTCTATGTCCTTATCCAACATACCTTCTTCCTTTCTATAATTAGTTTGCTTAGATAGTTAACTGCAAAAGGCATTTTTTTCCTCCCAAAAAATCACTAACCATCATTTGTTGCCAACACATGAAAGTTTAGAACCTTGTCTGAATTTCTTTTATGTGAATTATCATGCACAGTTCTGTTAATTTATGAAGAGTAGTTTTTGTCTAGCCTACTACGATTTCGTTTTAATTATCAGTAGGTCTGATAGTTGTCATATTCTTCCTTTTGCTCGTCATAATAAGTTCTATGCATATGTTTCTTTGGATTAGTTAAACCCTCCCATATAATGTATCTATTCCTTAAACTAGTTAATGTGGCCCCTTAAAGAGTGATGGAGGGAAATGATTCATATTGCCACCCCCAAAGAATGTGGATAAAACACCTTGCCTTCTTTCACTTTTAATAGCCTTGATAGTGTTCTATTAGTTTTCTTAGCTAGATATAATCATCTGTAGAGTGTATTTATACCACTGAATGTAGATATTTGTCTCACATTATCTTAGTAGACTAAGTGCTTTCACAATTACCTACTTGATTCTGATGTTTTCTTCTAACTCCCTTTCTGTTTTTGTTTTTTATTTTTCTCAGAAAGGGATGCTTCTCTTTGACACTGCACAGTTTGATGGAATTCTGAAGAAAATAACTGAATTCAATTCAGGACTACATTCTAGCATGGTAAATCCTATCTACAGCTTAAGATGTTATGCAATAATTTATACATCTGATGACATTGATATAAGCTGACTACATATGCTTTATGGTTAACCTTCAGAATATTGTTTTTGTACTAAAATAATTATTGATTTGACTTAATACTATATGATTTTTAACCATTCAATTACGTTGACGATGCTGAAGCTTTCTGCATATGTTCTCCTGATTTAAATTCTAGAATCAAAAAAGAAAAATGGACTTTTCCTTGCAAGCAAAGCCTGTGATCAAGAAACAGCAACCTTGTTTCTGATAGCTGTGGTTGTTTTTGGTGGGAGTGTAAGACAGCATTTTATGATAAGTGGTTATACGCTCGCTTCCAATTACTGAGAGGAAAAAACACCAACCTGCTTGAAGGTTGTGTTAAAATTTTTGTTATTGTGCCCTTATGGTCTTTTATAAGGTGTCCTTAATTTACATAATTTGTTGCTCCATTTATAAAGATTTTAAAAGCGTGGACAGGTTTTGAGGTCATATATGTGTTGGATGGATAATTGTAATACTGTGGAACAGAATACTTCCATAACAGAATACTACCATAGCAAATTACTTACGCTGGATAGATTTGATTTTCACTGGATATAGCCGCAAGAATGACCTGTATCCAGCTTTTCTCCTGCTTATGTAATTATATGGCAGATTGCATATTCTGTAAAGTTTGATGACCTTAACAAATTAGACACAAAAGTAGAGTTCATGTTTAAAGGAGGGTGTACAATCTCTTCAATAAAAAAGATCTGAACAAAACTCGACAGATGGGAAACATAAATAAACAGAACAGTAGGTAGAGCAGGACTAACACATCAATGTTGCATGGACGAAACTTACAACTGGCCAGTATCTCATAGATGACATGTACGGATGTACCTCTCAGAATTATGATCTTCATGATCCCTTTTGAATCCTGCATAATGGTTATTATTCTATATTACCAATTTTGAAGGTTTTCACGTATCCTCCTACGAAGAGGATGGGCTTTGTTCTATAACTAACTATTGTGAGTTCACAACTGAAAGAATGGTATCCAGAGCAAATAATTTTGAAAACTGTAGTGATGATTTTGTTCATGAACCCAAAGCAAATAATTTTAAAAATGCTGTAGTGATAATTTTGTTCATGAATTCAGTGTGCATAGAATTAAAAAGGAAGAGCTGTCTTTATGTTATAGTATAAAAAAATGCTGACTTTGTTGAGCATCGTCAAATCGTACTCCGGAGGCAAAGTTGGGAATGTAGGATTTGTATTTTGTAATAACTATTACAATAAGTTACTGTGCATGTTTGCAGACATAAAGATGCATGGGTTACCCAAGGCAGATCTCTAATAAGTAATAACTGATCTTAGATTTAGGTTAATATCCTGCAAAAGCTGATGTTCGTTAAACTGTGCAAAGAAAATTGTTCAAAATAAATCTCTGCCATAAAAGCAATGTTCTTTATGTTCCTCACTTTTCGTTGAGGATAAACCTACATGATAGATATCATGGGATCTGTTGCAAGGGTGCTGGAATAATTTATAGTTCCTTAATAACCAGGGGAATATTAATGCATGAGTCCTATTATTCAATCCTCTCCTCTCTGTCTACTGTAGTTAATTCATCGTGCGCAGTTCAAGGCCTAAGGTTCGACGAACATCACCAATTGTAAGGTTGAAAATATAAGTTCCAAGACCTATTATACACAAGTATATTCCAGACTGTTTCTTCTATCATTTATTTTTATAAGCACTTACATAGAGCATTATTATCACATAAAGCAAACTTTTTACTAAAAAACGAGTCGTTTGTACATTACTTGTTATGAGTTTTTTCTATTTTGTTTCCTACAATTATTATTTTATTGGGAATCATAACTGACTCATGACTGTGGAGGAATTTGTGTCTCCCACTCGTTATTATGTGTGATCTAACTAACAGGAAAGGGGAAGACGGAGAACAATATCTTAAAAGTGCTCTTAACAGTAAATAATAGAGAACCATGCGATCCTTTTTCCCTTTATGGATATATTTAGTATATGAACAAGTTTTTAGTCTCTTTCACGTGCTGGATATTCCTATTTAGCTATCATTTATAACATATGGAAACCTATCTAGATAGAAATCTTCTAGAATCTATCGATATAGTTTTATCTAAATACTTACTGAGCTACCTCTTTAAAAATATATATATTTGTACTGTTGTAACTACCAAAAGCACAGGGCCACAAATTTGTTTAAAATAGGTAACTTGAACAAAAATAGAACAGCGATTCATCAAATTAGTCTTCTCTCTTTTCAAGATATAACTAAATCTTGCTATTATAATTAGATACATTCCCAAAATAGTTGTCTTGAAGTCCCTTCCACTTTACCAAACTCCAAGTATTTGTTGAGGGAGGGTCAAAGGTTAATACTTTAATGGTCTAACATGTCCCCACAGGTAGCGAGCACCCTTCTTGTGGGCCTATTTACACAGTTGTAATTTTTCTTTAGAGATCACTTCATATGCTTGTCCTATGAGATTTGAACTTAGGCTGCTCTAAATGTCATATGTTAAATTGCAGGAGCTCAACTCATTATCATTGACGGATTCCGATTTGTCAAGGTTGGCCGCCATTACACATGTATTAAAGGATACATCCCATTATCACTGTAGTGCATTTGCAGATATTGACATGGCTTTACTAATAAAGGTTTTACAATCCTGGCCATCCTCAATGATGTTTCCAGGTAATTTCTGTACATGTTCAGCACATGTTTCTTATGTTTCTTTCTTCAGTTATAACTTGATTGGATATTGGTTCTGTATAACCTTGTTTTGTATAGTTCTTCATGTAAATGCCCATTGCATATGATGTTTTTCAAAATAATCATGATGTAAGAAATTACACTTTGTGAATGCCGCCAACAGTGTCCATGGATTCATTTCTATTGAAGAAATTGAATAATGATCATTCATTTAGAAAACTCTACACGAATCTATGAGAATCAAATAATGCGTATCTATTATGCTGTTATGTCAGACAAATAGCAAACTAGAGGTAAGGTCGTTGCTTCTTTTTTCTGTATGGCAGACGTCTATAATTTTGCCCGGAATTACAAACATTTAAGTCGGTATCTCAGCACTTGATATTATGTGGTTGACCTTGTTTAGTAATAGTTTGCAATGATGAACATTATCATACTTCTATCACATTTTAGTTCTTCTGTAATGCAGCAATTGATATCTTAAGAATGACAATCCTGCATCCAGACGGTGCTAGTCAGCTTCTGAAGTACATCGATGGAGGGAAAGGTACAGGAACAGAAGCACTACCTTTTTGCATCTTCCATATTAATGTGATGTAATTTTGTAATGTGCAGAAGTTGACATGCTATTTCTTTATGAGTTTGTTTTACTTTACTATTAATTTATTTGATAAGTCCAATATTTACTTCATATTACATGCAATAAACTATGTTGCACATTTCGTAGCAATTTCAATTGTTCATGCGTCCTGTGAATTTTCATCTTTAATGTATCCTGTTCCATTTAAAGTGGTTTACCAAGTCTGTTTTCTATGCTTGTCAGATATACTTATGGAAATACTGAAGAAAGCTACAACAGCTCCCATGCAGGCAGCAAATCTTTTGACTGTCATTCGTGCTATTGCAAATCTCTTCAAGCATCCACATTTTGCTCAGTGGCTACAACGAAATTGCAGTGAGGTTTTATTTTCTTCACCAATTGATATTCATATGCAATTTAAGAAAGGAAAAAGTGCTTACACCCCCTAGACTCTTTCAACCATATGTTCCCCTCCAAGTTGACTAGACAAAGTTGGCAAAACCCCTATCTTTCGAAATATTTTCTCTGCCCACTTTTCCTGACTTCACTCTTAGAAATACCATTGCTGTTCTTCTCTCCACCCTATCATCATGATCGATGTCACTGGACACCCACCATCACCCCTCCCTCGTTGCCCCTTCACCTAACCACCCTCTCATTCGCCCACCCCCTTGTGCCCCCTCACCGTAGCAAATGTAAGGCAGCAAATGGTGATAAGGATATCATGCTACAAAGTAAAACATTTTCTAGTTAATATCATTACATGAATCACATTGAACACTTACATTGGTGGTTCACCAGCTTGATAATCTGTTGCCTAGATCCGATGTAGGTTATAGAACTCAACTCCTTGATTGACTCTTTTATGATCACGCCTCAATCAGATCGATGTTTTTATGATCACGCCTCTCAAACAGATTGATGTGAATCCTCCACCAATTGTAATCTATGAACTTTTCTTGTAGCCAGATGAGATGAGAAATATGTACATTATTTTCATCAAGTATGATGTCATAATTATAAGAATTAAAGCTTTTATCCTGTTCCTGCCAGGATAAGGGGTTTGATATTAAAATTTTAAATATCTTATTCTCAGTTAATTGACCTAATCCTGCTTGGATTTTATCTTAGGATATTATTCTGAACTGTTTCTCACTATCCACTCTTTGGAATTGCAGATTCTTGATGCAATATCAAGCTGTCAGCCGTCATTTAACAAGAATATACATTTATCTTACTCTACATTGGTTTTGAAGTAAGTCATGCTTTATTTATTGTTGCTGAATTTTTTTTCAACATTATTATATTTTAGAAATGCTTAAGTTGCTATGATGAAGGTTTTTCATCCTAACTAGAAAATTTTCCGGAAGCAATGCCAAGTCGGTTATGTTGCTTATTACTGATGAGAATCACTTGAAGTAAATGGAATAAAACTCAAATGTCCACTCAAATTAACAACTAAGAAAATAAATAATTTAAAGACTTAAGTTCTCAAGTAGTTTAAGGTAACAGAAGTAGTTTAAGTTCTTAGGTTAACAACTTTGTCATGGCCCAACTCGGCATGTGAATCTCAGTATGCGGCCTTCCAAATGACCATAATACGATAAGTAATTGCTCTCTTCTTTTCCTTTGGTCCAAATCAAATGCCCTATATTTCACAGGTGGAGGGTATTTTAAAGGTTCAATATCGTTACAGACTTAAGATTCATACACACGGACCTGTGAAACAGAGACTCAATGTTATAGTGTTCTAATTTCAATTGAGATTGATTCTTGAGTTCCTTTTGACAAGATAGAGAGCAATAAAATGCGAGGGAGCGATGGGGGAGGCGGAACTTTGTATTCTTACAATATTAGCACTATTTGGAATAATGGTATATAGAAAGAGAGGCAGCTTCCTCTAGCTGTTATTGTGACATGCAAGGTTGTTGCAACTAATTCTTGATTTTAGGCACATATTCACTCTAAAAATTAGCCTCTTCTGCATTTGATAACTCTTGCTAAGGTTTAGGCTTTTACCTTTTTTTTTCCTACTCTCTATATGGTAGCTTAATGTTTCTGTATTCTTATCGCCAAACATACCCTAAACTTATCACATTTATGGATAAGCCCTTATTTTGAATTTTCTTTTCTTTTCTATGAAAAGACATGTCTTCAATATAAAAATAAAATAGTCTTTGATATAAAAATAAAAATAAAAACTAAATAAATATGTCAATCTATGTTGAGTAAAAAGAATTGTTCAGGAAGTGTTGAAATAAAAGAGGCTCTAAGGAATATCCAAAATTAGCTAATAAGATATATAAAATTGAGAGACACATTTGAGAACTGTCTGAAAGGTGTTAAAGAAGATTTTAAAGCTAATAAGATATATAAAATTGAGAGACACATTTGAGAACTGTCTGAAAGGTGTTAAAGAAGATTTTAAAAAGAATTGTTCAGGAAGTGTTGAAATAAAAGAATTGTTCAGGAAGTGTTGAAATAAAAGAGGCTCTAAGGAATATCCAAAATTAGCTAATAAGATATATAAAATTGAGAGACACATTTGAGAACTGTCTGAAAGGTGTTAAAGAAGATTTTAAATGCCTGACGTGTTGGATACAAATAATGCTTCATGATAGAATTTATTTGTATGACATAAGGTATTAGTGTTATAGTAATAGGAAATGTGAGAATGACAGTTGAAAGAAAGAGGAAAGCAAAAGAATATAGTTAAAGTAGTTAACCACCTACGCAATAAGGAAAAGCAGAGCCGTTTTCCTCCTTTCTTACCTTTCACAATGGATATCTCACTTGAAGACAAGGAAAGTGAGGATGGAAATAGGTGGGCAGTAGAGAAGAGACAGAAACTACTCAACTACAGTCTTGGACCTATCCTGTGGTCTCTAATAATACAAACTGATTTTGTTATGTTGGTTATTATTTTAATTTATTTTGCTAACGAATTGCATTAGCAAAGGTCATGCCTGATATGCATTAATTTCTGTGAAGTAATTTTCCCAGTACTTTCAATACATTCAGAGGAAATAATGTTATTATTTGAAAGGCCTCATTCTTCTTATTTATTTATGGCTGCAGTTATGCTGTTCTATTGATCCAACTAAAGGATAAAGAAGGCCAAGCTCAAGTTCTCTCAGCAGCTCTTGCAGTATGTACTGATTCCAAATTCGATATGATTCTTTTGAGTATCTTCATCTATGATAACTTATTCATGAACATTTGACCCTCTAGTTCTGATAATTCAATTGCTTAATCTTGTGAATGGTGTCTTAATCTTTTGTTGGATTAACTTTACTTCAATGCATTTCAGATTGCTGAGGACGGGAATCAAGATGTTGATTCAAGATTTCGAGCACTCGTGGCTGTTGGATCACTTGTATCCTTCCTTCTCTCAGTATTGGCTTATATCTAATTTGCTATTGGCACACTTTCTGCATTTTATTGATTGTTACAGCTATATGTTTGGCTTAGGCATACAGATTTTTTATGCTTCCGCTACTGTCTTGCATGATTGATATTATTTTGTTATCAGCAGAAGTTTTTCTCATCAATACTGTTGTTCTGTATGTGCTTCTTAGCTTTTCTATGTTTTCTGACAGTCATTGCTTTTATTTAATTTTGATTTCCAAGTCTATTGCCTTTGTGATATATCATGGTGCATTCAACCTTCGAATCTGTTTTTGTTTTAGACAGCCAAGTAATTTTTTCACTTTCCTAATTATGGACTAACAATACTAAATTTTTTAGATGATGTCACTGTATCCCTTGAGCATGATATAGTATTTAAGGAACTCATCGTAATCGACATGAAATTTATGGTCATGCTACTTGTTTTGTTTCCGCTTAAATTACAAGGTGTTTCATTCATTATTTATTGTGTTAACTATCCAATTGCTGAGTATTTCATCTCTCAGTACTTTTCCGGGTGACAATTACTTTTTTCACCTTATTTAATTTTTATGGAATCTGATGGTGTCCTTCAGTAAACATGAGTTGCCTATGTTGTCCTTGATCTCTTATAAATTAGATGCTCGATGGTCTTGTCAAGTCGATTGCAATTGATTTTGACGTTCAAAGCATTGCGAAAGAGGCAAAAGCCTCCAAGGAAACAAAGCTTTCGGAAGTTGGAGCTGATATAGAGCTTCTACTCAGATCTTCTTAGAAACCCGATATACTTTGGTAAATATCACTTCTATACTACTATTACTTTCTACTTTTCGTCTGGTAAATTGATCTTGTGGTTATCTAAATTCTTGGCTGGCAGAAGACATGCTCATTAATTTACGCTGTTTTTTTCCAGCTCATTCAGGGAACTGTTCAGATGAAACTGAGGTTAGGATATCAACTGAAATTGATAGGCATGCAACTGAAAACAAAGGCCCAAAGACATTTGAGACTCAAGTAAATTGCGGTATTATGAATTGTTGCCTCCATAGTGAGCAAAGGGTTGCTCCAGGAAAATATAAACTTAACCTTCTAAAGGCCAATACCAACTAGACAAATTTTTTTCTTTGTTTACAGTGAAAACATTTGGATACGTAAGGCTCGAGTTTCATTGTCTTCTGAATTCCTTGGATCTTAGTCCAGATCACTCTGATTGTTAGAACTCTCAATCAAACTCGAGCCTTGTTGAGATTGAGCTTCTAAGCATCAGTTTAGATTTATCTGTGAATGCAAACCATCAAATTTGGGGTCCTATTTTTGTCCCCTACTTTATTTGTGATGAACAATGAATATCTTCTAAAATCACTATGTTTCAGTTGTGCTCGGTAGAGGTGTGTTGGTTTTCTTCATTTTTTGTTTATTTATAAATTAAAAAAACCGTATATAAATGTTGCAAAGTCTATATGATTGAATAGCATTTGGGGTTATATGGGACCCATTCTATTTGAAGTTGTCAATGTTTATTTGGCAGCTAAATGTACCACCTGTTGATACATTCAATCTTTTGCATCCAGCCAATGGTATCTATTAACCGATTGGCTCTGGTGTATTCATATTCATAGTTCTCGCATACTTTTAATATGAGTTTCGATGAAGATCCATGGGGTCAATAAATTTGTTATCATATTATCACAAACCCCAGAAAAAAGTTAATATACAAAAGCGGATAGAATATAATTCCTCAAATATAGTTACTTTTGAAAGGAAATTATTTTTTGTGTGTGCAATAAAGTACAGTCATGTAAATAACGTTGTCTAATCCTATCCGGAAAATTTCCAAACCTCCTTATTTTTTGTGTGTGGAATAAAGTACAGTCATGAAAATAACGTTGTCTAATCCTATCCGGAAAATTTCCAAACCTCCATACAACTGATACGAATCCATTTAGAATTACAAGCATCAGTATAAGAATCTATTGGATATCCGAGTATTCACTTAAAGTTTGAATTTACTGAAAACAAGCAAAAAAATCAAAAAATCAAAAAATAGATAAATTTAAAAACAAGATCAGACTTGTAATTAAATCTACACATTATTCCTTGCCCGAATATGATCGGATAAAATTATATCTTTTTTCATCCTAATTGAAAATTATAAATAAGTGGAAAGGGGACGACATAATAGAACCAATTTTTTTACAGGTAATACCGTTACGCAATACAAGAGCTTAAAAAAATCATCAAGTTGGATATTATTCTGGCCAAACACGCTTAACTTTCAGACTTCTTTTGAGCTCTGATACATTAGCGTTGGCATGATCGCAGCCAAAACAAAAAACAAAAAAACAAAAAATCAATGTTTTTATTTTGTTCATTTGTTTAATTTTCAAGTTTTATCATTATTAGTTACTTAAAGTTTCCATATTTTCACATTAGCCCTCAAGCCATTAGAATTGTTATTCTGAGTTCTCAATTCTTAAGTTATTTAAAAATTAGTTTCTGAAATTACTGCTATTGTTATCAGGGCCCCTTAATTCTGATAAGCTGTTCAAATTAATTCCTCTAATTACTACTTATGCTCTTGATTAGAGTGGTTAATTAAAAAAAATTCCTTAATGACCCAAAATATGGGACCAATAGGTTGACCATCATTAATGATGATCAACTCTTAATGATGGCCAACTCATTATCCAATAGAAGGGGGACAGCTCACTTGTCCAATGGATAATGAGTTGACCATCATTAATGATGATCAACTCTTAATGATGGCCAACTCATTATCCAATAGAAGGGGGACAGCTCACTTGTCCCCCTTATTGGTCTCATATTTTGGGTCCTAGTAGCAAAGCTCATTTTAAAATAACTTAAGAATTAGGAGATGTTATAGCAATTTTAATGATTTCAGGAACTGATTACGATATATAAATGACTTAAGAGACTAAAGGGGCCGTTTGGTTGGTTTCCTAAAAACCAAGATAAGGAAATCGGTACAAGGAAACCAATAAAATAATGTTTTTATCCATTTTCATCCCTAAAACTCACCCACAACATCCAATAAAATAATATTTTTATCCTCCAACTCATCTCATTTCATATCATTTCATATCATTTCTTACCTTTAAAAATAAACCAAACATAAGAAATGTGTCACATCATCCAACTCATCACATCTCATCTTATCTCATTTTTAAAAATCACACACATTATCCAATAATATTGTGACAACTCATCTCATCTCATTAAACCTTCTTTTCCATCAATTTCCTAAAAAAAAAAAAACAAGAAATTGATTTCCTTAAGTATGTGTCACATCATCCAATAATATACCTCCAACTCATCTTATCTATTTTCTTATTTTTAAAAATGAATCAAACACAAACAACCTCAAAACATCATCCAATAATATACATTCAATTCATTTCTTTATTTTCTTAACCAACCAAACAACCTCAAAACAATTTTTTTTAAATCACTGACATCATCCAATAATAAGGTGACAACTCATCTCATCTTATCTCCTATTCTATAGTTGTTTTCTTTTTTAAGCCAATCAAACAACCTCAAAACAATTATTATAGAAAATAAATTTCCTATTCTTTGATTTCTCAATTTTTTTTTCCGAAACGAACAGCCCCTAACATTGGAACGGGGAAATGCAGCTCTTTATCCTCCGTCCTCTCTAATTTCTACGAGTTATATACCCTCTAAAAAAACATGTGTCACGCCTTCGGACCTATTTAGACCTATTTAACGCGGGTGACCATATCAAGCCTCAATCAATCACAGCGAGCGAACCAAGAAACGAAGTCCCGAAACTTTTATTTCTCCTCGTCGTCCAACTGAATCGGTAGCTCAATTCGCTCCCCGCTTCAAACCGCCGCTTCCCTGAAAAATTCGCCGGTTTTTTCGCGGCTCAGGTCCTGGTTCTTCCCCTCACCTCCTTCCTTATTTTGATTAGGGCTTTCTGGTCGGTTGAAAATTTTCGCCACGACGTTCAGGTCCGTGAACGCAACGCGCTCGGCTGGGGAAAAAAAACCCTAGGGCGATATTTTCCTTTAGGTGTTTAACGGCGTTTGCTTCGATGTTGGGTTGTTGAATTCGTCTGCTTGGGGTGACCTTTGACGGCTTTTGTGAGCTTTATAGCTTTAGTGGTTTTCTAGGTTTTGGGGGTTTTGACTTCAATCGGTAGTTGGCGCGAAACATTTGTTTCTTTATTTCTTAATAGAGTCCAATTTTTGTCATTTTGGGACGTTATGATGGGAAAAGATTTGATCTTTGGCTTTCGATTGATGAAGAGTTTGTATGTTAGATCTGATTTTTGAATTTTTGGGGGCGCGAAAGGTCTCATGATTTTACCTTCGAAAGTCCAAACTTTGTCGCTCAGTTATCTGAGTTAGTAGTTGCTAGTTAGTATTACCATTTAGTATCGGTCATTTGCTACTTTATTAGATGGGTTATGTTTTGATAGGTATCATAATTTGTTAACTTCGAAAATTTGGTAGTGATTAATTTGTGCTGTTGCGATTTATTGACTAATTTTGATATTATTTATAACATTTTTGAATTTCTTGAATATATATCGCCTTGGTTCACTTAGACGAATGCCTTTTTTGGTGGCTCTCATCTCAGGCAACATAGGACCTCATCGCTTGACCTCTTCTTTTGCTTTGATGAAAGCCTTGACCTCTTCTTTTGCTTTGATGAAGGGAGGGACTCGTACCCTTTATATATATATATACAAATAAATTAGAATATCTGTAGAAAGTTACTAAATGAAAACCCTTATATGAAGGAAAACTATAATGAAGGAAAGACTTATAAAAGAGATGCTACATTTAACGGTGATATCAATGTATCATTATCCTATTTTTCCATATTAAGTATTATTCAAAATTGTTATCTTATGACAACATATGATTATTGATTCATACAGGCAGAGTCGAGTATAATCTTCCCAATGGAAAACCAAACCTCTTTTTCATATGGAAGAAGTAGCAACGACAGCAACAACGAAGCTGGAGATTTCGAATGCAACATTTGCTTAGAATTAGCTCAAGACCCAATCGTCACCCTTTGTGGACATCTTTTCTGCTGGCCATGTCTTTACCAATGGCTCCATGTCCATGCCCATTCATGGGATTGTCCTGTTTGCAAAGCCATTATTGAAGAAGAGAAGCTAGTCCCTCTCTATGGCCGAGGGAAAACCTCCACTGATCCTCGCTTTAAAACAATGCCAGGTGTGAACATCCCACATCGACCTGCTGGCCCTAGACCCGCTAATGTTCCTCGTCCCCCTGAATCTAACCATAACCATAACCATAACCATAACCATTTTCCTCATATGAATCCTTGGTTCATGGGTGGAGCTCCAGCGGCTAATACAAGATTTGGGAATTTTACATTCTCTGCCGCTATTGGCGGTTTGTTTCCATTGTTAAACTTTCAGGTTCATGGGTTTCCTGACACTGCACATAGTTATGGACCAGCTGCCGGGTATCCCTACGGGTATGCACATTCATTCCATGGACATCATGCTCATGGTCTTCATCGACACATGCATCATGGACATGGGCAGCAACTGGATAATTATCTGAAGGCGCTGCTTATTATGATCGGTGTGCTTGTTATCGCTGCTCTTATTTGGGTTTAATAGAACATATGACACTTGTTTTTTTGGATAGGGGGATTCTCCTTTTTTTTCATCTTGTGTGGTGTTGTAAGCTTCCTCAAGCTATGGTTTGAATTAGCAGTTAATATATTGTTAATATATTATCTTATTATTATAAATCTGGTATTTATGTTGTTATTTCTCTTAGTCGTGTAACGTTTTATGTCAAGCATGAATGTATGATTTACGTGCCTGATGTTTTGAATGCCTTGTTACCCTTTGTGATAATGATGTCATATGTCTTGTTACCCTTTGTAGTACTTATGTCATATGTTAAACTTACTGTGTGCTATATAGAACTCTCGTAGCTGATTATGATTATCTACTGCCTGAACGTGATATCTGCAGCATGCTGTGTAACTAACTATGCACTAACAAAATTGAAACCTGTGATTTCTTTAGAGAAATCTTTCATTTGATATTTTGATTTAAATTTTCTTTTCCTAGTTCGTTTATGAAGGGTCTAAGAGGTATCAATCAAGTGAAGCTTCTGTATTTCATTTCAGAGTAGCGGGGTTAGCATTTTGATATTGATGTTAATAAAAAATTATGTGGCATTGAATCTGCATATAGTCTTTGATTCATGGCGATGCACGATACCTCGGAAGAAGAATTCCTTTGAAGAGTTAATAAATATTGGAGATGCTCCTGAGGGGATGTTCAATCATCTGCTATTGCTTGACTAAGATTTTGTGAGCTATTCTCATCTGTTCAATTGTGAGATCTCTTAAATGTGCTGTTACGCAATCCAAGATGTTTCTCTTGCTTCAGTACCTAGTTATTTGATTAAAAAAAAATTTCCCTTATCAGTTAACACACAGACACACACGCTGCACGACACGCATACAAACATACGTACATGGAAATGTAGATATATATAAGATATAAACACGTATACTCAAGCGTATGCACAAACACATACATTTATGCTCACGTGTATGAACACACATGCATAGTTCATACACATGCATAGACTTGTACGTACATATGTATATATCAATATTCTTGTGTATGTATGTATGTGTAGAGTAACACAAAGGCAACACGCACACGCATGCACACACTCACGCGGATTCTTGCACACATGTATGGATGCGCACGCGCCCACATGTTTGTTTGTGTATATTTTTGGACTAACGCTTATAAACATGTGGATTCAACACATTTTGCACCACATATGTAGTGACGATTCTCCATTACTTTATCCATCAACACTATTCACTTCTAAATTTCGGACAACCATATTCTGATATAGGATAAGGTGTAGGCGACACGTTTTAAATTTATTTTTCTAGATTTTATGAAATGTTGATAGACCAATGCATTTTCTCCTGCAGGCATATTGCAACCCTTGTTTGATCCTCTTTTATCCCTTTTTGATCCATATTATTAGGATAAACTTCTATCTGTTTACATTTAACTTGGACTTGTATTCTATATATCTTAATATAGGGCAAGGCAACCTTCATGGCCCTGAAAGCTCATATTTATTATTAGGCAACGTTTGGAATTTTACCTATTTCTTTACGATGGGGCAAGTTCTTATCTTCCGAGCGGATAGACCATTAACTCACAGTTCTATTTTGAGTAGAACAAGCTGGCAAGCTACTAATGCATCACTAATGTCTTCTAAAATTATATATGATTAGATTGCCATACTTAGCTCAATTCTTATATCATTTCCCTTAATTTAATTTCCAGATCATTATTAGTTGTAAGTTTCGGGATTAGGTGTTCAACATCGTTAACATAAGATTAGTTTCCAGATCATTATTAGTTATTAGTTTTGGGATTAGGTGTTCAACATCGTTAATATAAGATTAGTGCACTAATATGTTCTCAAGATTGATTTCATGTCCTCAGTCATGCACAGGTTCCAAAATATTTTTTTTAGATGGTCCTTTAAACTTTACAATCATAAAAACCTCTTTAAATTCATTAGTATTCATATCAGAGATGTTCGAGCTTGAAGAACATCATATCAGTGAATAGTGGAAGATGTACATACCTGAATGTTTAGCTTCAGACACAAAAACTTAGTACCTACTAGGCTCAACTTTTTTCTAGCATGTTTACTTTTTGGTTTGGATAGAGTCATTTTGTTCATGTTGATTCTTCTCATGGATTTGAAATGTAATAAGTGAAAACTTAATCACAAACTTTATATTTGCTGATTTATTTTTAATATCATCGGGCACTAGTGGTCGTCAAGCAATGTAGGTGTATAAGGTCATTATCAGTCAATGTAACATGACTAGCGTTAATCAATATAATACCATCAGTGGATCATTGGCGCTGCCTTGAATTGGTTTTAAATTTTCCCCCCCCCCCCCCCCCCCCCCCCCACCTTCTCCCTAAAATTACTTATAAGTGACGTTAGTCTTACTATAAGGCTGGTTGAATCTCAGGTGATATCCATGTCCTCTCTAAAAGACTCTGCTCGTGTATCCATTAACTTTATACTTAAGATCTTCCAAGACAGGGGACATTCCCTTTCAGCTTACTCGATCAATCTTCAGAAGACGGTGTGAGCTACCCATCAGTCGAGGACTCCCACGAAGAGCTTACCCGCGATCGATGGAGCGGGGGAGGGGCGTGGCGGGGGGCGTCGATTCTACTGCTAGGCCGAATCATCTAGATCCGTATCCTGCTGCCTACTAGACGATCCACGGGTTCTTCGATGGCTCGAGCTGCTACTCAATTGACTCTGGGCAGTTCTCCTCCGGGAGCAGGCACCTTTATGGCGCCAGATGACGATGGAGGTGACATCACAACATACCTACTTTAATGCGTCGTTGCAGTACATCATGAGAGCTCATCATCGATCTGATCCATCTCTAGGACGATTGCCGATGGATGGTAACTATTTCATTGGAGCAGCTCATCCTGCTGGAGCTTCATATCCTCATGGTGCTGATAGAGGAGGAGATCATGATGAGGACATGCAGGGATATGAAGCTGAGGACTTAGATAGATAAGAGTTTGGTTTGTGAAGGTCGATTTTTTTCTTCTTTTTAGGTTTTCAATTTATTCGACACATGTATATATTCTTTTTGTGATGCTTGAGTTACTTGGAGTTTACTAACTCTTTATCTGCATTCACATTGTTAGATAACTAGTTTCGTGTCATATATTTGCATGTTCGCCTTTCCTATTGTATGTACATAATTTTCTTTTCTATTTTTCTTAATTTCTTTTTAGGATTTTTTTAGTTTTTATTTTTTATATTAAAAAAATTCTCTTTCTTTCTTTTTATTTTCTTTGAAATTTTTTTGGATATGTCTATTTATATGTGAAATAACCCGGGGGTGAATAGGGTAATATGCTAATCTAATCCGATTTTAATGCTAATTAAAAACTTATTAACTAATTATCCTAGCAAGAATAATATTCAAGAAGATTATATGCAAGGATATTATACTAAGGGCAAAATAAACATGAGCAATGGCGAAATAGAATGAAATAAATAATGAGCACAAATGTAACGTCAAGGTAAACTCAAACACAGAATATGATTACGGAGTTCGGTCCTTCCGGCCTACGTCTCCGCTCCCCATTCCTAGGGAGAATCCACTATCACAAACGTTCACCTAAAACGTTTACACCTCACAATCGGTTTTCTAGCTCACTGAAAATTTTCATAATCTCACACTCTTGCAATCACACTCTACACCCTCTTAAGTGTTGGCCTAGCCCGTGTCGTCTTCCTCAAGTGCTCGGATTTACAACCTCTTCCTGGGCTTTACTACCGATGTTACTCCTCTTGGAATCGACCCCGTTTCTCACCACATACTTCTCTTTATGTACAAGTGTATTACAAAGTGTATCTCACAATTAAAGCTCAATACAAGGTTTGTTCTCTATAATGGATGAGAACTCAATTAAGCCCACTCTTAAAGTTACAATCTCACAACCCAATTATACAATATGTGTAAAAATACTAAAGCTCAATGGTTGTGTATGTAAACAATGAGAAATAACAAAATCAAACTCAAATTGATCTAGCAAATATAAATATAACAAATGAAGGATAAACAAGCAAGATAATTGAGTTAGAAAAACTTCTCTATAACAAGAGTGAGATATTGGAAGATTGAAAGCCCAAATGAATTTGATCTCCTATTGTGAAACTTTCTTCACATGAAAACTTTTGAGAAACAAACTTAAAATACCCTTAAAAAATTTGTAAACCTCTTTTAAAATATTCTTGGTTAATCTCTGAAGTATGAGGGCATGGGGTATATATAGGCTCATTAAACAAACCCAAAAACCAAGAGAAAGCCCAACAAAAAGATAAATAACGAAAATTTAAAAATCTGAAAAAATAGTCACTACAGTGTTATAAGTCGACTTGCTACAGTACATAAGTTGATTTATAACTAGCCGTTACAGGCTGAAGAACTCATATAAATCGACTTGCAAAAATGATAAGTCAACTTATAACATATAAGTCGACTTGCTTTGGTGATAGGTTGACTCAGCAGATAAAAACTATATTTTTCCAGAACAGTTCATAAGTCGACTTATAAACATGCACAAGCACTGTTCATGTATAAAATCTGATTTGTGAAGTGCCTTAAAAAATAGCAAATAAATTCTAAAAAATACAAAACTTTGGAAAATAATTATAAACATGAAAATGAACATGTTACAAAAAGAATTTTTTAAATTGCATCTCCTAATTGTGAAAACTCTTCATTTTGTAAAATAGTCCAAAAACATGAAAACTTAACAACACATGTTTTTGACAAACAAACTTGCATATTTATTTTGAATGGATTAATGGAGTTAGGAAAAGATATAAAATGGTGTAATTTAGTCTTTAATCCATAAACATATATTTTTGCAAATAAACATGATTTCATTGATTTTAAACTTGTTGATCGATCAATGAAATCATCTTAAGCACATATAAACATGAAAATATATTTATATACGTGTATTAAGTTTTCATGTTTATGTGGCTAAACACATTGTTTACCAAAACAAAAAATGATAAATATGAAACATGTATGTATGTATATAAATAAGTAAATTTGTTTCATATTCAAACTTAAAAACTATAAAACCAAAAGGTGTATGTGTGTTAAGATTGAGCTCTAAGTATTAACCCACAAG